ACTGTATAAACAGCAATACCCCAGATAGCCATCCCGTGGAGTCTATTCGTATGGAGAACAGACTTTGTGAACACTTTGACTCCACGGCGATTGGACTGTGTGCATAGGATCTGAGCGCTATTCGGTACTTTTGTGTGCTCAGATCCCAGCTATCTGGGGATGGGTTACATGTATATATTTTGTGTGACAAATGTAACATTGTGTATTTTATTGTATTTTAGTGTTTTATTGTAACCATGTGGGTAATGGAGTTTTGCCTCTGTCCTGGGAGATAATTGGATTACTTCCCAATTATCTCCAGGATAGAGGGGAGGGATTGTAATGTACTGGGGGAGTGTTTTAACCCTGTATGCCTGTGATTGGTCATTTTACCATTTGTGTCCCAGTCTTCCATCTGGTCCCCTAGGGGAGTGTCCACCAGGTGGGAGACCTGCATAAATACCGGGCAGGTAGCCCACATTAAACCAGACCACTGCTTGACCCTCAGCACAGAGCTCTGTCTCGTCTTTGGGGGGATTTACTGTATGCTGTTAGAGACTGATTGCCAGGAGTGTAAGCCGATTGGGTGCTTTTCCTATTCGTCTGCTAGCAGCTATTCGTGAGGTTCTGGTTCGGGAGTTTGGAGTGCTATTTTGTATGCAGTTCGGAGGTTTGGAGCATTCCCTTGTATTCAGTTCGGGAGTTTGGTGTTCTGCAGTAGCTGTGCCTGTATCTCTGGAAGGGGAAGAGATACTAAACAGCGGTTTAACCCTTTTATGCCTGGGGCTGCTGTTACAATCCCCCTATATATCCCCAATATATTCCTGTATATCCCCTATATATTCCTGTATATCCCTTATATATTTCCCCCTATATATCCCCAATATATTCCTGTATATCCCCTATCTATCCCCCCTATATATTCCCTATATCCCCAGTATATTTCTATATATCCTCTATATATCCCCAATATATTCCTGTATTCCCCCTATCTATCCCCAATATATATCCCCTATATATCCCCAGTATATTTCTATATATCCCCTATATATTCCTATATATCCCCTGTATATCCCCCATATTCCTGTATATCCCCCACATATCATCTATATATCCCCTATATATCCCCTATATACTCCCCTATATTCCTGTATATCCCCTATATATCCCTAGTATATTTCTGTATATCCCCTATATATCCCCTATATACCCCCTATATTCCTGTATATCCCCTATATATCCCCAGTATATTTCTGTATATCCCCTATATATCCCCTATATACCCCCCTATATTCCTGTATATCCCCTATATATTCCCAGTATATTTCTGTATATCCCCTATATATCCCCAGTATATTTCTCTATATCCTCTATATATCCCCAGTATATTTCTGTATATCCCCTATATATATCACCTATATATTTCCCCTATATATTCCTATATATCCCCTGTATATCCCCCACATATCATCTATATATCCCCTATATCCCCCCATATATTCCCTATATCCCCAGTATATTTCTATATATCCCCTATATATCCCCTATATACCCCCCTATATTCCTGTATATCCCCTATATATCCCCAATATATTCCTGTATTCCCCCTATCTATCCCCAATATATATCCCCAGTATATTTCTGTATATCCCCTATATATATCCCCTATATATTTCCCCTATATATTCCTATATATCCCCTGTATATCCCCCACATATCATCTATATATCCCCTGTATACCCCCCTATATTCCTGTATATCCCCTATATATCCCCAGTATATTTCTGTATATCCTCTATATATATCCCTTATACATTTCCCCTATGTTGTTTTTATTGTAGTTTTCTCTCCTAATTACTGATTTCTGATACAGGGAGATATGCGTCGACGCCACATTTCCAAGGTGGTGGAAGAGGTTCAAAAGGTAATCCAGCAGCTCACTGCCTACGTCAGTACTCAGGATCTAAGATTCCAGAGTATCGCCAACACAGGGATTCACAGCGACAGTCTGAAGGTAAGAGATTGGGCCAACAGATGGAAGGGGAATCAGGATAATGGGGTCACTAGGTGTCTGAAAACATCCCCCCCCCTTCCCCCACCCCCCGCCCTCTCATTTTGGGACCTTACTCTATATGGACACTCCACTGCCCAAATACAAACAAAACAAGGTTTAATACATATACCCTCCATTTCCTCTATAGACTGTAAGCTTGTTTGAGCTGGGTCTTTTTCAACCTATTGTTCCTGTAAGTTTTCTTGTAATTGTCCTAATTATTGTTCCATCCCCCCTCTCATAATATTGTAAAGTGCTACAGAATCTGTTGGCGCTATATAAATGGCAATAATAATAATATTAATTTCAGTATGCATGTTTCGGGGGTATATCTCCAAACAGCTTGTAAAAGTTGCAAATCTCTTGTCTGCAGCATTCGCAAGCCCTTGCTCTTCTAATCCCGCCCAGACTTTCTGTGGCTGTCCAATCACACACTTCCCACTGCAGCTCAATGAAAAGTCTTAGCAAAGCAGATGCTCTGAGTAATTTCTGCCTCTTGAGTTTATCTACAGTGAGCCAAACAAACCAGGAAGTAACTGGACAATCTGTCTGATTGACAACCAGGGGGATGTAACAAAGTTAATTTATTAAAGTTAAAATTTTTAATGAAATCTGCATGTTTTGTAAAATGAAAAAAGAGGACATGGTCTTCACACATAAAGCTGTTCAGGAAGATAAAGTATTTTAGGGGTCGGGAGTGTCCTTTTAACCCTCACTTCACCGCAGACTGACACTGAGCTGGTATTAACCCTCTCCTTTCCATAAACTGACACTACGCTGGTATTAACCCCCTCCTTACCATAAACTGACACTGAGCTGGTATTAACCCCCTCCTTACCATAAACTGACACTGAGCTGGTATGAGTTGGTATTAACCCCCTCCTTGACAAAGATGAACACTGTGCTGATTTTTCTAACCCTCTCCTTGCTGAATATATACAGAGTGTAAGTCTCCTGCATTCTGAATTTCTTTACTCCATCTTGGATCTCAGACTGTCTCCTTTCTGTCTCTTTTTACTACCGCTCTCTCAGGACCAGCCAGACCTACTGGCTCATTGGACGGTGCTGCTCAGGGGGAGACGCATTCTGCACCCCTCTATACAGGTACTGAACCCATGGCAGACCCCACTACCCAGGGATATTTGGGGGACTTTGTGGTGGAGTCATTCCTGGCTCATGGTGATTGGGTCACACCAATAATCTGCAGGTTCTACCTTTCTTTTTTTTTTTTTTATTCTTTTTTTTTTGTAGTGCATATGGTTTTAACATACATGCTTGTGGTACCCCAACGGCAGTCCACTCGCTAATTTCAATGACAACAGATACAGTGGGGGATGAATAAACAATGCACATTTTTTGAATAAGGTTTAGATTGACATAGTTAATTCAACAGGTTTAAGTAGTACGAGTCTTGGCTAGTAATGTCACAGATAATGCAGGAATTCAACGTTCCTGAACAGGCTAAGTAGGCATGTTTAACTGATGGGCACTCTAAATATGAGACACTAGCTGGCTGTGCTTAGTATGTATCACAAGCGAGGAAACCGTCCACAAGAGTGACAGAAAACGTTGCTTAATGAGATGTACATTTAAAGGTTGTGTGTTATATGACAATATTGACCTTTCTGCGCATTTTATAACATGTTAGACATATTAAGCTAGGTGCACCTCCCAGGTACACATTAGCAGTAAATACATTCGGCTAGGGTTGCTGGCTATTCTGGAATACCTCGCTATAAGACACAGAGCAAGCCTGTCCTAACGGTCTCAGGTACATTAGTTAAGTGTGCACTAGAACTGCAGTTAGGTTTATTTTATATTAAGGCCTGTAGGCATAGGACTATTTAACTATACTGCACATTTTTTGTTAGGCTAGGCAGAGCATGTCTAGGTTAGCTATTGAGCTAGTGATACTACGCTATACAAATCATAGGCATATTGATAGAGAGATGTGGAATTAAAATGAGTAAGACAGGCTAATAAAAACTTGGTAATAGAATAACAGTGTTAAACCAAATAATAAGATGGTTGTCGCTTGTGTGCCGTTGGGTTTTCTGCCGCCTGGGTTAGAGTCCCTGTCAGACTTAGCTTAGTTGGAAGCCAGCTCATGTAGTCGGAATGTCATCCGATACCTTGGCTGGGTACCCATCTTCCACATGTGTACTGTCCACAGGCATGAGTCAGTGGCGTACACATGACCCATGGGGCCCCGGTGTGAAAATTGATTCGTGGGCCCCCCTCACCCCCACGCGCGGGCCAGGCCGCAACACATGGCGGTGGGCACCTGGTCGCAGGGGTTACAGGGCTGCAACCCCTGCGACCGCGGTATGTACGCCAGTGCATGCAGATGCCCTCACTTAAAGGACCACTCTAGGCACCCAGACCACCTCAGCTTAATGAAGTGGTCTGGGTGCCAGGTTCAGCTAGGGTTAACCCATTTTTTCATAAACAGAGCAGTTTCAGAGAAACTGCTATGTTTATGAATGGGTTAAGCCTTCCCCTATTTCCTCTAGTGGCTGTCTCATTGACAGCCGCTAGAGGCGCTTGCGTGCTTCTCACTGTGATTTTCACAGTGAAGCACGCCAGCGTCCATAGGAAAGCATTATGAATGCTTTCCTATGCGACCGGCTGAATGTGCGCGCAGCTCTTGCCGCGTGCGCTACCGGCGGGGGAGAGGAGGAGGATCGGAGGAGGAGAGCTCTCCGCCCAGTGCTGGAAAAAGGTAAGTTTTACCCCTTTTCCCCTTTCCAGAGCCGGGCGGGAGGGGGTCCCTGAGTATGTTTTCCTGCAGACACCCAGATCACATCAGCTCAATGAAGTTGTCTGGATGTCAGGTCCCTCTAGTTTTAACCCTGCAGCTGAAAACATAGCAGTTTCAGAGAAACTGCTATGTTTCACTGAGGGTTAATCCAGCCTCTAGTGGCTGTCAGTGAGAGGAGCCACTAGAGGAGCACACTGAACGTCCATAGGAAAGTATTGAGTAATGCTTTCCTATGGGCGGTTTGAATGCATGCGCGGTCGCATTCGGAGCTGAGAGGCTGAGGGATCCTCAGCGCCAAGGGAGTCCGGCGCTGGAGAAAGGTAAGTGCTGAAGACACACACACACACACACTTACAGACGCATACACACTAGCTAACAGACACACACATTTACTGACAGAAACACAGTCAGCGACAGACATACATACACACTCACTTACAAAACATACACTCTCATTGACAAACACACACTTACTAACAGACATCAAACAGACTCACTAACACACACACACTCAGTAAGACACACACACTAACAGACATCAAACAGACTCACTAACACACACACACTAACACTCACTCTAACACTCACACTAACACTCACTAGCAGACACACACACTCACACTAACACTCACACTAACACTAACACTCACTAGCAGACACACACACTAACACTCACTCTAACACTCACTAGCAGACACACACACTAACACTCACTCTAACACTCACACTAACACTCACTAGCAGACACACACACTAACACACACTCTAACACTCACACTAACACTCACTAGCAGACACAGACACTAACACTCACACTAACACTCACTAGCAGACACACACACTAACACTCACTCTAACACTCACTCTAACACTCACTCTAACACTCACACACACTCAAACACTAACACTAACTTTTTTTTTTTTTTTATTAATCCCCCCAGCCTCCTTACCTTTTGGAGTGCTGGGGGGATTCCCTGGGGTCCAGTGGTGCTGCTGGGCTCCTGGGCGGGTGGCCGGTCGGGCAGGCAGGCAGGCAGGCGGGCGCGCGAGGGAGCACTCAGTGCTTCCTCTTCAGCTCCCTCGCGCGCCGCGTAGGGATGCCGGAGCCGGAAGATGACGTCATCTTCCGGCTCCGGTATCAGTGCGGTGCGCGAGGGAGCTGAAGAGGAAGCACTGAGTGCTCCCTAGCGCGCACGCCTGCCCGACCGGCCACCCGCCTTCCGGGTGTCAGCAGCGCCAGCCTCGGGGGGCCCTGGGGTGGTCGGCTCCTGGGCCCCCCA